AGGAGTACTCGCCCAAGGTGCGGCAGCTGGTGCGGGACATCGCGGGGCTCACGCTGCTGGAGGTGGCCGATCTCAACGCGCTGCTCAAGGTGGGTGTGGGGGCGGCCCGGCTCGACCCGGCTCCTCCCGGCCCGGCCGCGTGCGCCGCCTGACCGGCCGCCGGTGCCGCTGCTCTTCCCGCAGGAGACGCTGAAGATCCCGGACGTGGGGGTGATGCCCGCGGCGGCCGCCGCGTCCGCCCTGCCCGCCCAGGCGGCTCCACAGGTACCGAGAGGGGCGGGAGTGAGGCCCCGGGGGCCCCACGCGCGGGCGGGGCTGGTGGGCTTGGCCGCGGGGCTTCACCGCGCTCCTGCTGCTTCCAGGAGGAGGAGGAGGTCCCGCTCAAGAAAGAGAAAACACATTTCACCGTCCGGCTGACGGAGCTGAAACCTGCTGACAAGGTGAAGCTGATCAAGGAGGTGAAGAACTTCGTGCCAGGAGTGAACCTCGTGCAGGTGAGCAGGGGCTGTCCCAGGCTCCGGCCTGTCACCCCCAGGCCCACGTGGGTCCAGCAGTCGGCTCTCTGTCCGAAGGGAGCCTGTGTTCGTGTGTGCAGGAGCACAGTCTGCCCGTGTGAGCCTCAGTGCAGAGGCATGGACAAAGGGGGAGCAAGATCTGGTTCTGTCTTTGGCATTTTTCCCTGGCAGAAGTGGGAGGATGAAGGAGGAGACCCAGAGCAAAGACCTCAGAGTCCTTCATGCCAATCTCAGCTTCTCCAAACCTGAGAGCTGCTGTGAGCTTTCCTGCAGAGCTCAGGAGTCCCTCACTACAGCTCGGTTTGGCTTGCCTTTCCCAAAACCAGTGTATTTCTGAATTTAGACGAGTTTTTCTAATTCACACATCTTTCAATCCAGGCTTCTAGGTCTTTTCAGGGCTCTTCTTTTTGTAGGTGATGCTTCTTCCTCTTTCCTGGGAGGAGACCAGGCCTCTTACAGCCCTGGGCAGCATCTGAGCTCATGCCCTTGAGCCAGGGTGTGGGCTCAGCAGGTTGGGTGATGAAGCTGCTACTGGCAAAGTATTTAACGCGCTACAGTTCTCCACTGGGTGATGCTACCATATCTTGGGGTTAATAGTAGCACTTTCCATTTATCCAACTGCAGCATTGAGTATTGCAGAGTCTGCTCTGATTGTATTCTGGAATAGCAGAAAGGTTTGCAGATAATCTTCTGACCTGTTCCTGTTGCAAAGCCAACAGAGAAGCTCGGTGGCACAGGCGCAAGTTTGGCTGTCCCAGAGGGATAATTACCTGACTGTCAGCCTGGTTCCTCTGGAAATTGTTCATCCATTATTGGTCCGAAGCAAACATGAAAATAGCAAACCCTGTAATGGATGCAATCAGCAGATAATTAACTGGAGAGCTGATGCTAAATGAGCTCGGGGTAGCACGTGGCACCTGTCGGACGAGCTGTTTGTAGGTGCCAGCTATTGCAGGCAAACTCCAGTGTGATGTACCCAGCCTGGCCCTTGGGTTAAAACACACACACAAACCAACTGTCTGCTGACAGGGCTTCTGCCTGCAGAAGTTGTGTTTAAAGTAGAGTTGATGCACTTTTGTTGTAAATTTCATGGCCATCCAGTTGAGGTGTTTTAATGAGGTTTGCAGGGGATCTCTTTGTGGCCTGATGGTTTGGAGGAGAGCATGGCTAGTGAGGACTTTGAGTGCTGGTGGGACCCAAACAGGTCAGTCCTGCGGCAACAACTGTGTGATGAGACAGGTGTGTGGTCAGCACACACCAGACTGAGGCCATCCTCGGTTCAGGAAGCTCATTGAGAGCCTCCCAGCAGACACTGACCCTGTGTCACTGCCAGTCCCGGGTCTGACTGGGTTGGGAATGTGCTGCCTCTGCCCCGTGACTGCTGCTGTGTGGATCCTGCTTGGCTCGGGCCTTGCTCTTCCTCCTGCCAGGTGCCGGGAACAGCTGCTTCCCTTGACCAGGGCTGCTTTAGAATGGAGTCATGCCTTGGTGAGCAGGGTTCTGAAATGAATAACCTGGGTTGTGTTGCCTGTTCTCATGGAGCAAGCTGGAACAGGCTCCTGTCTGAACCCTGTCCTGGTGAGTGAAGGCATTCCTGCCTTGCTGAGCACTGGCCGTGCCTGCTCACCCCAGCAAAAAGAAGCATTTTCTGCCACCACAGATGTGTTGTCACTGTGCCCAGCAGGAATCAAAAGGACAAAACCTTTTTGCCAGCAGCAGCCAGTCCGGTGGGCACTAAAGCCACACCAAGCCACAGCAGAGAGCTGTGGCTTCTCACCTGGGAACCAGCTGGGGTTTGTTTCAAGGAGCCAAATAGCTTCACTGGTGCTAGGTGTAAGAGCAGGAGGGTCTGACCACAGCAGGGGCTTGTCCCCCCAGGCTCCCTTCCCTCCCTACAGCAGCACTGCTGTAAGTTCCTTAAATCAGCTCAGCAGCTTTTCAGCTTGCCTTAAGTATTGCACTGCTGCTTAGTACCAGTAGTTTTGCTTAGAAAGTACCTAAAATGTCAAAACAATGTGTTCTGAGTATAGTCTGTGCTGAAGCTCTGTTTTACCCGGTGCAGCTGTGTCCAAACCCTGCACCAGCCTCCCCTCCTGCTGGCACAAGTATGTGAACCAAAACATAGACACTGAGCAGGGCCAGCCCAGTGCCAGGCAGCCACTGCCTTAGTAGGTCACTGCATGGGCCTCTGCCTGCACCCAGTCCTGCACGGGCCAGAGGTGCACATCTGGGAGCACCACGCCCATGCTGGGAGGAATTTAAGAGCAGCGAATCGCTGGAAAAGGTTTCCCAGTGGATATACTGGGCAGGTGTAGCCACCTTCCGGTGGGATGTGCTGTAGTTCAAGTGAAAGTCTTGGGGTTTGTACTGGTCGGTGAGTTTCCCTGGTCATCTTAAGCAGAGGTCAGGCTCATGGCTCTAAATCCGATAATCTGGTTAGTGAAAGGCACTTTATGAGCCTCGTACTTTGTCCCTCCCACAGGCAAAGAAGCTGGTGGAGTCCCTTCCGCAGGAGATCAAGGCAAACACCTCCAAGGAGGAAGCAGAGAAGATCAAAGCAGCGCTGGAGGCAGCAGGAGGGACTGTTGTTCTGGAGTAGTCTCACCCTGGAGGGACTGGCACCACGGCTGCTGCCCAAGCCGAGCCCGGACCTTTCCAAGCGCATGGCGCGGTGGGAGTGCTCTCCCAAAAAACACTGGGGTTTGGCAGAGCTGCTGCCTCCTTCCACTATCACCATGAACTCTACCTTATAAATATAAAAAAAAAAAAAACATGTAAAGTGGTTCGTCTCTCCCAAATCAGCTCTGATTATCCCCATGCTCCATATGTGCACGCTGGTAACGTCACTGTTTCATAGAATCATGGAATGGTTCGAGTTGGAAGCGACCTTAAAGTTCATCTCATCCCAACCCCTGCCATGAGCTGGGACACCTTCCACTACACCAGGTTGCTCCAATCCCCATCCAACCTGGCCTTGGACACTTCCAGGGATGGGGCAGCCACAACTTCTCTGAGAAACCTGTGCCAGGGCCTCCCCACCCTCACAGGGAAGAATTTCTTCCTATTATCTAACCTAAACCTACTCTCTCAGTGTGAAGCCGTTCCCTCTTGTCCTGTCAAGGCTCTCCTAAATAGTCTCTCTCCATCTTTCTTGTAGGCTCCCTTAAGGTTCTGAAGTTTGTGCCAGCACATCACCCCCCTCCTCATGGCATCGCCCCCTCCTAACGCTGCCTTTTGCTGATGGTCTCACCGCCCCGTTAGTTGTGGGAAGAACCCACTTCCATAGGCTGTGGAGATGTGGGCAGGGCGGGAATGAGTACTCTGGAGCTGCTGATTGTCCCCGCACTCTGCATGTGTGCACTGGTAACGCTGCTGTTTGTACCCGCGCATCCCCTGCCTCTTCACGCCGTTTTTTTGCAGATGCCTTCACCTCCCCGTTAGTTAATCCCCGTTAATTATTAACGGGAAGAAACCACCTCCGCGGGCTGCGGAGGTGCGCGTGGCAGGGGGAGGATGGTTCTGGAGCCTGGGGTTTGTGGGGTGGGGGGTGCGCGCCGCTCCCGGGCCGGGGGATGCGACGGGCGGGTCCGCCCCCCCTCCGGTACCGGGAGGGGGCGTGGCTTAACGGAAGGGGGCGTGGCTTAACGGAAGGGGGCGTGGTTTGTGGCAGAAGCGGCTCCCATGGCGGAGCAGCGCGTTTCGCGCTGGTACTTCGGCGGCCTGGCGTCCTCCGGGGCCGCCTGCTGCACCCACCCCTTGGACCTGCTGAAGGTGAGGGGGGACACGCCGGGGGGGCGGCTCTGCCGGCGTGTGGGATAGGGAGCGGGTTTGAGGAGCGCGGAGCGGCTGTGAATGGCTGCGGGGGTGTGGGGGGTGCTGTGAGGGGATGGGGAGGCGGTTGGTGCGGCTGGGAGGGGTTGGGGGGACGGTTATCGGGGCTGGTCGTGGTTCTGAGGGCCCCGGAGCGGCTGGGAGGGGTTGGGGAAGGGGTTAGGGTGAGTTGTGAGTGGCTGTGGGGGTCCCGGAGAGGTTGCGGTGGGACGGGGAGCGGGTCTGAGGGTCCCGGAGCGGCTCTGAGGGACTGGGCTGCGGGATGGGGGCGGCTGTGAGGGGACGGAGAGCAGGTCTGGGGGCTCCAGGGCGGCTGTGAGGGGTCAGGGGGTGGCTCTGGGCGGCTGGAAGTGGCTGTGAGGGTCCATGAGAGGTTGCGAGGGGATAGGGAGCCATTCTGGGAACCTGCGGAGCGAGTCTGAGGGTCCCGGAGAGGGTGAGGGACCAGGAGACGGCTACCAGGGGAGGGGAGTTGGCTCTGAGTGGGCTGAGAGTGGCTGTGAAGGTCCTGGAGAGGCTGTGAGGGGACGGGGAGCAGGTCTGAGGGTCCTGGAGCAGCAGCAGGACCGGCTTTGAGGGACCTGGGTGGGAGTGAGGGTCCCAGAGTGACCGCGGGGCCGGAGAACAGCTGCAGAGCACCAGGGAAACAGCTGCCGGGGGCTGGTTCTGAGGGGCTGATTTCGGATTTGGGGCTGTGCAGGTACATGGCCCGGGGCTCAGGGAGGAGGGAGCTGGGGCCTGGGGACACAGCTGAGGGGTCACAGACCCAGCCCAGGGGAAGGGGCAGATGTGTGGGGCTGAGGGGTCTGGGGAACTCGGGGTGTCTGCCCTCGGGGCTGTGGAGGACGCCTTGGCCTCCCCTGCCCGGGCACGGCAGTAACTCCAGGGCTGGCGGTGTTGGACACTGTCCCACTGGGCTCTGGGCCCTCTGGCCAAGATGTCACCTAGGCGCCGCGGATGACCTGGCATCCCCACTGCCGCACAAAGGGCGCCGCGCGCAGCCCTGCGCTGCCAGCACCCACGGACGGGGCGAGTGCCAGTGCTGCCTCGAGCCTTGTGTGCCAGCCAAGTGGCGATGAGCCTGGCAGCCGGGCAGGCTGCGGAGGGGGAGTGGGAAAGCCAGCCCAGGCCGGGGCCTGCCCTGCCCAGGGCTGTGCCCATGGGTGAGGCTGGGACAGACAGCCCCTTCCCACCCCACGGCATGGAGGAAGGGGAAGATGTATTGGGCACAGCAGTCAGCCCTGGGAAGGGAGTGCCACCTCCCCAGTGTTCAGCCTGTTGCTGTGCCCTGTCTGCCCAGCGGAGGTGGCTGCCAGCCCATGGGAACTCGTGTGGGATGCCCTGGCAAGGCGCTAAGAAAGGGAATTTGTCTGACACATGCCTCTCAGTCTGTCTCTGAGCCAGCGTGTTGGGTGTGACATTTGGGCCATGTCCCCTTGCTGTCCCCTGCAGATGTGCAGCCCCTGAGTGCACAGGGCTGTGAGCAGTCTAGCCCACTGCTAGGTTCGCATCTGAACATTGATCATGGACCTACCTTTGGCCGAGAGCTCCCCAGCAGGGGCTGGCACCAGGCCTGGTGAGGCACAGGAGGCCTCAGGATCCAGCAGGGCAGGGTACGAAGGGCACTTCACTGCCCCTCTGGACCTTGGCCCCAGCCAGCCAGCCTGGACAGTGCTTGTGCCCTTAGGCCAGCTCTCTGCAGCCACCAGCCACCCACGGGTTGCTGGCTGTGCAACAGTGACCACGGCCTGGCCAGTCCCTCCCCTGCCTGCCTGCCTGCCCTTCCTGCAGCCCTGGGACCGCAGGCAGCGGAGTGCATCCCAGCATGACTGTGCCTGACCTGCCTGCTCGTTTCCTCTGCCCCAGGCTGCCTGCAGCCGGCTGCCCGACGCTGGTCCCTGACACAAGCTCTGGTCCCTGGCATCCAAAATCCACCTGCCAGCATTGAAGGCAGGCTCCTGCACCCCTGCTGATGCCCCGCGTGGGAGACAGCGACTGTTCCCAGCATCCTGTGGTGTGTCTCACGGCCCAGCTGTGCCGGGGCTTCTGGAGCAGGAGCCAGGCCTGGTCCCCCGACAGCAGCCCTTTGCTCTCCTTATCTCCTGGGGCCTTTGACCTACATGTGGTCTTTGCAGCACTCAGAGCATGCTCCAGCACCAGCTGACACAGCTCCCACGCGTCCAGGCCGGCCCCCCATGACTCCTGCTGCCATGCATTGCCCGTGGTGATGGGAAGTGTTGGGCTACTGCAGGAGGGAAGGAGAGCATCTGGCTGGCTGTGGGTTCTCTTCCTGCCTCTGCGATTCCTGCGCTGGGGAGGAGGGGAAGTGGCTCCGGAGGCCTGACGCCCTGCCCTGCGTGGCTGTGACTTCACTGACCCGCCTGCGTCCCTCTGAGCAAACCCACACTGGGCACTCACTCGCTCAGGTGCTGCTGGACCGCCCCACCCTGAGGTGGGCCAAGGTCCTTCTGGGAGGAGCAGGTGCCACCCCTCACCTTGGAGCTTAATGTTGAGGGCAGGGCCTGGGAAGGCCTGTGGGCAGGTACCTGGGCACTCCCCTTCCCTCACTGCCTCCAGCCCTCTGGTGCTGGGCTGGGCCAGTCTCCAAGTCCTTTTCAGGTGTGGGGAGCCTGGAGCTGTTGCTGTTGGCTGCTGGGCGGTGCTGACGCGTTAGCCTGACACGTGCTCACGTTCATGCCCACTCTGGTGCCTGGTGCACTCCCGTCCCTGCCTAGCCCAGCGCTGAGCTGACACTGCTGCATTCTGCCCCAGGTCCACCTGCAGACACAGCAGGAGGTGAAGATGCGGATGATGGGGATGGCGATGCATGTGATCCGCACCGATGGCTTCTTTGCTCTCTACAACGGGCTCAGCGCCTCGCTGTGCCGGCAGGTGAGTGCACAGTGCCCTGCTGGCCCCTGGGCCCCCAAGGCCAGCGCAGAGCCCCTGCTGTGCTGCAGAGCCCCAGGAGCTGACGGGCTGCCCTGCACCAGGGGCACAGCCGCTCATTTCCCTCTCCTCCAGATGACATATTCCTTGACTCGCTTTGGCATTTATGAGACTGCAAAGAAACACCTGGGCCAGGGCAGCCAGGGGCCTCCCCCCTTCTACCAGAAAGTGCTGATGGCTGCAGCAGGAGGTGAGCCAGGCAATGGGGCTTTCAGCCCTAGCTCCCTCAGGCTGGACACTCCCCTGACCCAGCTCTTCTTTTGCCACAGGTTTCACTGGTGGGTTCGTGGGGACCCCAGCTGATATGGTGAACGTCAGGTCAGTTCTGTCTGTATGACAAGGGTTGTGGCCGGTGCACAACAGCAGTTGAAATGGTGGGAAGTGCTGGGTGCTCCTGTCATCTCTCCTGGCGAGTGGTCAGTGGCCCAGGAGCTCTGTGCTCAGGATGACTGGAGCTGTTCTGCTGTTCGATGACAGCCTCTTGGGGGGAGTGGGGCTGGAGGCAGCGTTCTTGTCCATTTGCAAACGGGCAACACAATCCCACTGCCCTGGGCAGGAGTCTCTGGTGCTGGGGGGGCGGTCGGCCACCGGCCCCCCCTCAGCTGCGGTGCTCTGCCTTCCAGGATGCAGAACGACGTGAAGCAGCCGCCGGCTCAGCGGCGCAAGTGAGTGGGGGACTGAGGCGGGGAGGGGCGAGGCAGAGGGCTGGGGAGCTGTGGAGCCGTGAGGGCTGGGACAGCGGGGAGGTGGTCGGAAGGGACCGGCGCTCCCGGGGCCGGGGGTCGGCGTGGCCGCGGGGTGGCAGCACCGCACCGGCACCGGGGGCGGCGGGATCTGGGCCGGGGCCGCCGCTCCGGGAGCCACCGGTGCCCGCGGAGAGCGGCGGGGCTGCCGCCGTGCTGGGGAGCCTCGGCTCCTGACTCCTTCCCCTCTCGCTCCTTCCAGCTACTCCCATGCCCTGGACGGCATGTACCGTGTCCTCCGGGAAGGTGAGGCCGTGCCAGCCGGGTGGGTGGGCCCGTTCCGGTGTCCTCACAGGCACTAGGGAGCCGGGGCAAGGCTGACCTGGGGAGTTCACTCAGCCAGGGCAGGGAGAGGGGCTGGGGGATGCCCGAGGGGGTGGGGAGCCCAGGGGCATGCAGGGCCTGGCACCACCACACTGTCTGGCTAGGGCAGGGGCTGGGCCAGGTCTGGCAGGGCCTGGCAGCCTGCCCATACTCGGTGGGAAAGGGAAACCTGCCAGGAGTGTGATGGAAAAGCGCAGGAGGGTGGAGCAGATGAGACAGGGGATGAGCAGAGGCAGGGAGGAGGTTGGGCCATTTTGAAGGACTCCCCTATCCTGCATCCTATTTGCTGTGGTGTGTTTTAAGGAGGGCTGTGCAAGGAGTTTGGGACATAGCCTGGGCAGGGAAGAAGGCTCCAGGTGGAATGGGGTGTGAGTGATGGCCCGGGACTATGCTGATCCCCATCTGTCTGTCCACAGAGGGCCTGAAGAAACTCTTTTCAGGAGCTACTGTGGCATCCTTCCGTGGGGCCCTCGTCACCATTGGGCAGGTAGGACAGCTCTTCTGGGCAGTAGGTGCCTGATGTAGGGACTGGGGTGGTCCCTAGTGTGGTGAGGAAGGGGAACATGTCACTGATTCACAGTGTCTTTGCAGCTCTCCTGTTATGACCAGGCCAAACAGCTGGTTCTCGCCACTGGGTTGCTGTCAGACAACATTGTCACTCATTTCCTGTCCAGCTTCATTGCCGTGAGCAGAGCTGGGGCTGGGGGGGCAGGGCTGGGGCTTGGTTTGCTTGCAGCGAGGCTCAGGGTGCCAGGATGGGGCTGCCAGAGCCACCACTCTGGGCTTGGACTGAGCAGGGCTGGGCACAGTGGCTCTGGGAGGCTCCTGGCCTGTTGTTGGGCCCAGACATGGCTCTGGGTCTCTCCAATGACCGCAGCAGTCGGTGGCACCAGGGTGTCCTGATTCCCCGATGACTCTCTGCAGGGCGGGTGTGCCACATTCCTGTGCCAGCCCCTGGATGTGCTCAAGACCCGCCTCATGAACTCCCACGGGGAGTATCAGGTGAGTCACCCACCCTGCCCACCTCACTGCTGCCCATCCTCCCCTCTCTAAACACAGGGCCTCTGCTTCCCAGCCCCTCCCACCTCATCTCTCACCCTCTCGCCCCAGGGTGTTGTCCACTGTGCCATGGAAACTGCCAAGCTCGGACCCCTCGCCTTCTACAAGGTATGTAACTGGGGGTGTGTGGGGTGGGGCAGGCTGGGCCGGGCTGGGAGTAGAGGTTGCCATCCAGAACAGTCCTGGGACAAGGGCCTTCCAGGCTCTGCTGTGCAGAGGAAGCTTGGCTGCTTCCTGCATCAGGCCTTCATCCACTTGGCCCGGGCTTGGCCCCAGGGTAACACAAGCCCTGGCCTCGCCAGGACTGAGCCCAGGCTCAGGCACTGCAGCCATGACCCTGTTGCACCCATCAGGCTCCCAAATGGAGGGCAGGTGCCAGCACCCGTGTTGTAGAGCAGAGGGGCTGGCATGTGATGCTGACACCTGTGTGCCCTGTGGTGGCCGCGGTGCAGCAGTCCCTGCTCAAGCCTGCCTTGTGTGCCCACCCAGCACTGCCCTGCACCTGCCCACTCGTGCCACTGCCGGGAGCACCAGGGCCAGGCACACACTGACTCTCCCCCTTCTTGCTATCCCCTTCCAGGGCTTTGTTCCTGCTGCTGTCCGGCTCGTTCCTCAGACTGTTCTCACCTTTCTCTTCCTGGAGCAGCTGCGCAAATATTTTGGGATCAAAGTGACCACCTGAGTTAGAGGGATGGGACCCTGCCTCACCCCAGAGGGATGAGCGTGTGGGTCACCCCCAAGATCCCAGAACCTCTCTCTGCTCTCTGGGGCCAGCACCATTCTCCCTCCTTTTGGCCCCATTCCTGTGCCTTGCCAGCACCTGTGGCCAACCCCCCAGACTCCCCTCACCCCCATTCTCAGTATCTCCATTACCTCTGCACTACTGGTTTTGGGTTTCTTGCAGGGGTTTTTTGCTGTCTTCCTATTGCCCTACTTCTGGCCTTGAGTTCTGTCCTTGCCCCCTTCAGCCCTGTCCCTCACGTGCACCGGGAACAGGACTGTGCTATCCCGGGGAGGAGTGGGATTGGCTGCCTGGCTCTGTACCTCATTGCAGAACACATGGGGCTGAGGGGGCTGGTGCCCCTGTGGCTGTGGGGCTTGGGCTCAGGGCAGTGGGGGTGAGGCCCTGTCCTCCCTCAGTGCCTCTGGCCCCCATGCTCCACACCAACACCAGCTCAGCCTGGACCCCCTGCCCTGCTCCTGGCCTCCCACACCCTGCTTCTGCTTGGCCAAAACTCCCCAGCGCTGCCAGCTGCTGGGCTCTTCAGGGATTGTGCCTCATACCAATGAGGGCGGGGAATGCACCCCAGCCAGCCCCAGCTCTGGCAGGGCCCAGCAACACCTGCTTGAGGACCCAGTACTCGCTCACCCACAGAGTGCCCTCGTCAGACCCAGCCTCTGTGGGGGCATCCCCCCCATGCTGCTCTGCAGCCTCACTTGCCCCAGGGCTGAGCAGCCCTCTGCCCCTCACAGGCCCCTGGCCCTGTACCACCCTGTGTGCAGGGGCTGCGGGCACCAGCCCCTCCGCTGTGTGCACCTCTGTGTGTGCTGGCCCTAAAGGATCAAAGAACTGGAATATCCATGACCTTAATGTATAATAAAGGTGAACGTGGACAGGGCCTGCTGTCCTGCTTTTGAAGGGGGGATGCTGCACCCCCTTTCTGCTGCCGAGGGCTTCGGCTGTGAGCTGAGCCTCCCAGAGTGGAGGGAGAGGAGCAAGGCATGGCCCCTGGCACCGTGCCAAGCAGGGGATCTTCACCTTCCTCTGCCCAGCACCCGTGGATCTGTGCAAGGGGAGCTGTGGGCAGGCTCTGGCCAGTCCTGTGCCGAGCTGTGCCCAGTCTCAGCTGTGCTCTGAGACGGGGCCATGCCAAGGGCGCCCGTCACCTCCGCCGGAGCTGCCTCCTGGATGTGACACTAATTGGGCTCCGGCGGGTGGAACAGAGGCAGCCTGGCACAGCAGAGCAGTGAAAGCTCGTCACCTTAACGAGGCTTAATGATGCTGGCTGGCTGGCATTGCCACTCTGGGCCTGTGCCCAGTCCCGGCAGAGGCCGTGGGCAGGTGAGCGGAGGGGGAACTGGGCTCTCTCCTAGTGAGGGGCTGGGGGCTGCCCAGACAGGCTGTGGTGCCTCATACCCCGGCCAGCCCAGCACTGCTCCCACAGCTGGCGGGCACTGCTCTGTGCCACACAAGGGGCCAACGTGGAGTAGGGGAGCAATAGAGCCCCCATGGTCCCCCAGCAGCACAGAGCCCTTCTCAGGCCCATGCCAGCTGGTGCCAGGGATGTTCCAGCTGGGCTGTGGTCCCACCAGCTGCGCTCGCCCCATGCTCCCAGCACGCGCGTACCCTGTCCCCACGTTAGTCATGGCAGCCAAGCTGTGCTGCAGCCACACTGGCAGGACAGTGTGTGCCAGAAACAGCCCGAAGCACGGTGCCCACAGCTGCAGCGCGCTGGCACTGCTTATCTCTGAGCATCAGAGAGCAGAGGGCTGGCAGCAGCCTGTGGCCATCGTCTCCGCACTGGCCACCCCCTGGTCCCACCCTGCCCTGTGCCAGGGCCCCAACAGCTGCCTGCAGGGGTTCCCTCAGGGCACTTCTCTGCTCTGACCCCGGGCAGAGATGGGGGTTGCCAGTCCTCCCCCCACAGTCCCCTCCTGGCCCGGATGGGTGGCAGGGCCACCTCCAGGGAGGCAGCCATGGATCTGCCCCCCTGGCACTGTCAAAGCACCTGCAGGATCCAGCATGGGCTCAGGCTGCTCTGCCCACACCAACGGGGGCTTCCAGCCAGTGGAAGACTCACAGAGCAGGACCCCGGCGGAGGCAGCTCTGGGGACTCCGGGGAACCGGGGTTGGGATGCGTTGGGCTACGGGGGGATAGACTCCGTGTACCTGTGCTGCCACAGCCGGTATGACCACCGCGTCCTGCACGGCCCAAGGTAAATGTGTTTGTGCCGGGGGGCCGGGGCAGGGTAGGCCGCTGGCACCCCCGGGCCGGGGGCTCCCCCGGGCCCCTCTCCAGACCTAGCCAGGAGGGCCCGGGGCGTTGCTCTGTCTGGGCTCTGTTTACCTGCAGTGGGACAGCGGCGGCAAACACTGACCCGTCACCGCCGGCGCCGGCCGGAGCGCGGGTGTTGAGGCGGCTCCAGGCGGCACGGCCGAGATCCGTCCAGGTCCCCAAGGGGCCGAGCAGCCCGCGCTCCCGCGCCGGGGCCACCAGCTCGGGGCACGGCAGGACCGGGGACGCGCTGGGACTGGGGAAACGTCCCGGGGGACGGATCCCCGGCCCGCTCCCCCAGGGTCGGAAAGGTCCAGCTGCCCTCCCCGCTCCGCCCGTATCCGCCGCCGAGCCGGTGCCCGGGAGCAGGGCTGGGCGGGGGACCGGCGGCGGAGACAAACGGCGGCGCCCCCGCAGCTCCCGGGAGCGGCCGTCGGTGATGCGGCGGGCAGCGCCGAGCACTCGGGCGGAGCGGGGGCACCGGACTGCGCCCCCCTTGTGCCGGCAGGAGGAGCGGGGCGGCGGGACGCGACTCCGCGCCCCCGGTCCCTCCCCCCGCCCCGGTCCCTCCCCCCGAGCCGCCACAGCCGCCGCCGCCGCGGCTCCGGCAAAAGTTTTCGCCGGAGCGGCCGAGCGCGCCGGTCTCGGTCCCCGCCGGCTCCGAGATGCGTCCGGGAGTCGCCGCGAGCCCAGCCCCGAGAGGTACGGGGAAGGGGGGAGGAGGGCGGGGAGACCCCATCCCTGCGGGCTGGAGGCTGGAGATGCCGCACGCCCCGTCGCGTGGATGTGGATTCGGGTGACGGCTGCGCATCCCCGGGACCACGAATTGAGCCTCGGGAGACCAGAGCAGCAGCTCCCAGAGCCGCCCCGGTGCTAGGCACCGGCCCCGGGGGTGATGAGTCCCTCGGTGAGGGGTGTCCTGGGCCGGGGGTCGCAGCGGGGCTGGGCCCGCTCCCCACCTGAGCCGCTGCCGCTGGTGTTCCTGTGCAGAGGCGCTGCTGTCGGGCTCACGGCACCCCTGGGCGCTGCCCTGGCTGTGGTGAGCCCCCGGTCAATCATACCAGCCAGGCTCCGACGCGCTCGGAGTATCTCCCAGAGCAGCCCCTCGCCGGGGTGGGACCCACGGGGTCTCACCGCCGTGGGCACAACAGTGCCCGAGGGTCTCTCGTCGAGGGGCAGAAGCAGGAGACACTTTTGACCCTTCCCAGCTCTCCGGGGCTTGCAGAGCCCGGTGTGAGTGCCCTTTGTGACTATGTCCCGAGCTCTGCTGTGTCAACACGGTGTTGGTAAATGGCTTTGTTTAACCAGGACATGTCGGGTATGTGACCTTGCCGTCCTCCTGGTTGCAAGTGCATCTCCAAAACTGCTGCAGGTCCTGTCTGCCCGGCGCTACACTTCCCTCAGGGCGGTGAGGGGAGCAGAGACCGCCGTGCTCAGCCTGGCTCCCCTCACGCCGGACAGGCAGAGGACAGAGCATCCGCTCTGCCCAGCCCTCGCTGTGCACCCCGCAGCGCCGCGCCCCATGCAGCGCCTGCCCCGTGTGTCCTGACCCACACCAAATTCAGTGGTTGCTCCTGTGATTTTGTCTGTGCATCAGGAGGAAAATTTAGGGCCCGCAGGACCCCTCCTCGGCGTGTTAGTGCCGCCCCGGCTGCCAGCTACTGTGCTTCCCACCAATCCCGCTTCTTTCCGCACACTGCGGTGTGGATTTTTTTTGTGTTCTGTTGCCTGGAGAGGGGAGAAGAGAAAAGGCTGAACAGAGAATAGGCAAAATGTGGATTAAAAATAGTTAATGAAAAAATGTGACCGCAAGCCTTGATCCACAGCACAGGGCTGAGACCAACCACCGAGCACAGCCTCTCCATGCACCTCGCTGTGCCAGGCAGGGGCAGGGACAGGGGAAGCCAGACACAGAGGAGATGGGGTGGCAGCTCAACTCCATCCCCCTGTGCTCCTCCACTGCATCCTGCTCTGTCCTGTGTCCCCCATGGCCTCCTGGGACCTGGGGCACATGGCTGTGCACTACAGGCATCAGTGGATGGCTGGGCATATGTGCCCCCTGCCACACCCCTGGCTCACTGGGGCTGGTGGCCAACTGTGCCCAGGGCTGCAGGTGTCTCAGGACAGGAACGGACTCTGCTGGGACCTCTTCACAGATGGGCTGCAATGTCTCTTGTGCACCTGCACCTCAACAGCACAGGGTTTGAGCTCACTCTTCAGGGAGGTGCTGGGAGGTTGTCCCGAGGTCCACAGTGGCTACAATGTTCATTCATGCCACGAGCTGGTCTGGGAAGGCGGATGTGGAGCTCCCAGTGCAGGGGAGCGTATGCATCTCCCTGTCTGCACTGACCTTTTCCCAGGCTTTTCCCAGCCCTGTACCTCCCCTGTGACAGGCTAAGCACACGTGTAACACTGTGTCTCTCGTGCTTTTTTGTGTTTCATGGGCTTTTGTGCAACGTGATGAACAAAACCACCCCTTTCCCTGAGCCAGGGACAAGCTGCTGTGTGGCTCAGCATCCCCTTGCCAGAGCCAGCTGGGCAGCAAGGTCATCTGGCCTCTGCCCTCGTGTGCCGGAAGACCACAGTCCCTCTTTGGTACTGGGCAGGTGCCCCTGTCCATGCCTGGAGGCAGCTGGGGGGTCGTGGAGGTGATGCAAAAAGCATTTCTCCTGTTTGCATCCTGTACTGCTGTTGACGAAAATACTGTCAGGGCTGGTTTGGGTTTTCTTGGTCCAAGATGACACAGAATCCGACATCGCTGGTGCCTGGTGACGTTGGCTCTCTCTATGTGCCACTGCTCAGGGCTTCCACAATCACGTAGCTCTGTGCAAACAAGCCATGGTCTTGCAGCACGAGGGCTGCTCCAGGCAGCTCAGCTCCTCCTCTGTGGCCAAAGTTCCTGGTACTCAGTTCTCAGAGAAGGACTCCCACTCCCACTGAGTGGGAGACATCCCCTAGATTGGGGCAGGGACATAGGCAGAGATAGTGCAGGTCAGACCTCCTGGGCCTCCCTGCCCTGGCTGTCTCCCCTCGCCCTTGCCCCGCTTGCCACGGTCTTGGGTAGAAAGTGGAGCAGCATCTGCAGGGCCAGACTGGTGCTGGCATTGCATCAGCTCTGGCCCGGCACTGTCCCCTCCCCTGCCAAGTGCCGAAGCCCCTGCCGTGCTGGCGTGTAGCTCCAGGCTCAAAGCCAAGCCAGCCGTGGAAAGCACTGCATTAGCGCACGGGGGGCTAATCCCTGTGTCCAGAGGGCACACAGCCACCCCCGCTGCCTCCGAGCCAGTGGGGCTGTGCCAGGTGCAGGGCTGTGCTCGTGAGGAGGCCAGGTGCCCATTCCACTGGGGAGGCAAGAGTCCCGTGGGGGCACCAGGCTTTGGGGGGCAGTGTCAACTTCACAGTGCTTGTGCAGGGCCATGGTTGTGCTAAGGCACTCTCAGGTCATGTTGTAAATGCCCATGAGTGTCCCATGGGGGCTCACCAAACCACTGATCCGTGTGGCAATAGACCACAGTGATCCCAGATGTGGAGCTCGTTCCCTCACACGTGCGATGGCAGCAGCGCTGGAGGGGCTGAGGGGCAAAAATCCCAGGGGAAACCAACCAGGGTGGGATGAGGAGAGAGTCTCTCCCCAGGGAGGCCTGGGCACTTAACTGACTGGGGGGGTCCACGGTGGTACAGAGCTGCTGCAGGGCAGCATGGGGTCTTTGCATCCACCAGTGGGGAACAAAATCCTAACACAAGCCTTTTCCCATCTGTTCCCTGTCTTGGTGCAATACCATGGCCATAGTGCACCCAGGTCCTTGACTCGCCCCATACTCTGCCCAAGCTGCACACCCTGCCCCCTGCCTCCTGAGCATGCCAGGGCCAATGGTGGCCACCATGGGTCACTGGTCAGCCAGGAGTCACAGGGACACCAGTTAAAGGGGAAGGGGGTCCTTGCTTTGCCCATACAGCTGTAGAGGTTGGCACCACTGGCTGGGGAAGGGCTCAGTGCACAAACACAGACACCGCTGACAGCCCCACTCCCCCTACCCTGAGGGCAGATGATGATGCCTGTGTTGACCCCTCTGGCCCCCAGCACTGGGGCTGCCAGCACGGCCCCTTCCCTGCCTATGCTCAGCTGTGTCAGAGTTGGCTCCTTGTTCCTGCTCTGCCATCGTGGGCACGAGATCTCTCCTTCACTCCTGTGGCAGTGGAGCCTTGCCGGGTGTTTGCAGCCCATGCTCCACAGGGGTCAGCAGCCACAGAGCTGTGACATGGGGACATGCCACATTGTCAACACCAGTGTGGGGTGAAAGTACCTTCCACACACACTGTCATGCGCTTCAGCCCCTCAGAGGCACCCACTCACAAGTCAGGCACCCTCCACCCAGCACCCACAACCTGGTGTAGTGGGGGGCTCCCCAAAGACTGGCCCTGGCTGGGAACAAGGTGCCAGGGCAGGGAATGTGGTACTGAGAGTCAGTTGGGCATGGCAGGGTGAGAGAAAGTGGTGGGTGATGTGGGACCACGTCCCTCCCGTGGTGCTGCCTCTGGCACCCAGGACGTGGCTGAGAGGAGCCTCTGGCACTGGTAGCAAGGGCATGTCCAGTTGGCAGAGTCACTGCTCTGAGCACTGTGGGTACTGCTGCTGGGCAGTACCAGCTCCCAGGTGGTGCTGCCAGTGGTCCTGGGCTCCCTACACCCTGCTGTTCTACCACACAGAGCCACTGCTCCCTCCCTGGCACTGCCCACCACACAGCACACTCACATCTCTGCTGGAAAGAGCCCCTGTCTGTGCTCCCTGCAAGGCAGTGGAGCTGTGGGGGCCCCCCACCTAATGGGGCGTGGGTGTCCAGTGCAGTGCCGTGGCTGCACAGTGCCATGGGCAGCTGGGGCAAAGGGCCTGGGCAGGGTGAGGAGGGAGCCCCGTGCCGTGGCAAGGAGCGTGACTGGCCCTTGTGCCAGGACCCCTCACCCAGTGCAGTCTGCCCGGCTTGGCCACAGCAGGGCCAGGGGCCGGGGAGTGGCTGCCAGCTGGGGGAGTCCAGGGCAGAGGCCTCCCCGCTGCTAAATCCCACTGCAGCAGCTAAAAATAGCGACACCTCTGCCCCAAAGCTGCTCCCCAGCCACTCAGAGGGGCTGGCAGCGAGTCGCTGTAACCCACGCGCCTGGAGAAGCGTTCCCAGCTGGGGCAGGGATGGATGCTCGGCCAGGGATGGGCACCAGCACCTTCCATGGGGTCGGGACGTGAGCACTGGTGGGATGGGGTAGGTGGGGTTGATGTTGTGGGGCTGGGGGTGGGACAAGGACAGGGATACTGTCATGGGGGAAAGGGACAGGGATCCTAGGGTGGGGATGGGAGAAGGACTAGGACAAGGATGCTGGTGTGGGGACAGGTTTGCTGGGGGATGCTGAGGGGGATGACACAAGGATAGGGATGCTGACATGGTCAGGTGGCCAGTGGGCACCCACCAAAGGTCACCGTTCCCAGAGGCCACCCAGTGAGGACTGTCCCAGGAGACAGTTCCCTCTGTCCTGGGACTGGCTAAATAAGGCCATTGCAGGTCCTGCTCCTCAAGCTGCGTCTGGAGCTCCATGTGCTGATTAATGAGCTGCTCCAGCAACCACTTGCGACATGGTGAGTGGGTCTGCCCTGGTGGAGGAAACACGACTTTCCCAGGGATAAAAATAGGCACAGGCAGAGTGGCGAGCCCTGGGAGCAGGGCTGGTCAGGGAGCACAACACTCCGGCTGGTGCCCGGGGGGAGCGCAGGGGCCAGGGGCGATGCCAGATTGTCTGTGGTGGCACCGGCACTGCTGTCCCTCCCGTCCCCCACAGCTCAGCTGCCCTCACCCCTCAAAGCCGTGCCATGCCGTGGGGCTGCTGCCAGAATGGCCCCTTGTGGGAAGAGCCAAAATAACGCTCAGGAGCCCCATAACCGGCTTAGGGGGATGGAGGGAATTACAGCACCTCGTGAGCCGGGGTCTGTGCAGAGCACTTGGGCGCCGTGTCAGACAAGGCCCCACATCATTGCAGGAGCTTGGGGCAATGAAGGCACAGCGGCACAGCCCAGCTGAGCTGGTCCCAGAGCCAAGGCAGCCCCACAAGCTGGGATCCCTGTGGGTTAACAGCCAACCTCTGTCCCCATCCCTGCGTGGCCCCGTGCTGTTGGTGGCTCCCTGTCCACCTCCATCCTGGATAGGTGCTGCTGCAAGGCCATGGCTGAGTGCCCCGAGGGCTGCCCTGCGGCATGAGAGTCGATGGGAAGGGGGGAGCCCAGGTGCTGGCCCCCACCTGAGAGCGTGCTCAGGTGTGGGGAGGGGTCCTTCTGCCATGGGGGCCCTGCACTCTCAGAGCTTAGCACTGATGTACAGCTGGGCACCAGCACCAGTGTGGGGTGGCACAAGCCTGGGTCACCTCTGGGCGTCTGGAGGCAGTGCTGCCATGGGGCACCAGAGTCTGCCCTGCTCAGAGGTTGTAATGTCCTGTATATGGCTGCGCTTTGGCTGCACAGGGGTTGGGGTTGGCTTAATGAGCAGAGAGGCCACATGGCCACAGTCCCAGTGCCATCTTGGGGAGGAATAAGCAGGTACTTGGTGGGAAAATGCAGGAACAAGCAGCTGAATGTGAATGCCAGACAGGGTCAGATGAGGACTGGGAAAGGTGAATGGGGCTGTGACTGGGCCAGCCCTGTGCTGGTGTGGCCCCCTCCCACCTCACCTGCCCCCAGATCCACGTCCCCCAGCTCTGCCCTGAGAGTCCCTGTGACCAGGTGTCTCACACAGGATCACCCACGTGCCAAGGCCGTCACCGCCGGGGTGGAGAAGCTGCTGAGGGCTGGTAGGAGGCCGGGCACCCTGCACTGCACCCCATGCGTGTGACCCAGAGGAGGGATGTCCCAGCCACATCTTCTCACCCTCCCGCTGCTGCTGCTCTGCTGCCAGGTAAGGATGGGCTGTCCCACACTACAGTGCTCTGCCCCATGCCCAGCTCGCTGCACACCCTGGGCTGCGACTGATCCACCCCTGCCCACCACGGCCCCTCACCATGGCGGGCACTGCAGCAACTGATGCCCTTTCCTGCCCGCCCTGCCATCCACATGACATAGTGTGGCATGGCACAGAGTGTTAGCCTGCACTCATTTGTGGCTGTCCCAAAGCTGGGGTCACTGCCTGTTACAGCAGGGCAGCCCCTGTGGGCAGGATGCGGGTGACAGGTGACACTTCCTGGTGCCCCCAGGGCCCCTCTGCCCAGATCACGGATAACCTCTTTGAGAAATGGACTGCGTACAGAGAGGAGTGCCAGCACAACATGAGCCGCCTGCCTGCGCCCACAGGTCAGTGCCCATGGGGGGCCAGCAGGGTTCTCGTGGGATGGGATGGGGACAGGGGGGCTCCCACTGAGATGGGGATGGGGCAGAAAAGCCAGCACAGGGTCCAAACAGGACAGGGACAGAGCAGGGGGCTAGTGGGGGATCCTGATGTCCAGGGAGGGTGAGGCCAAGGCGCTGCCATCTCCTATCCTGTTGCAGAGCTGGTCTGTAACCGCACCTTTGACAAGTTCTCGTGTTGGCCTGACACCGCACCCAACAGCACGGCCAGCGTGCCCTGCCCCTGGTTCCTGCCCTGGTACCACAAAGGTAAGAGCTGGCAGGCACGTGCTCCTGTGTGGTGTGTGCACACATACGTGTGCATGTGCTGCTGCAGGTGCTCGTGCCTGTGCTGGCGCACGGTGCCTGTGTGTGTGTGTGTGTGTGTGTGTGTGTGCCAGCACACCCCACCACCCCCTGCCCTCACAGTGAAGCACAGACACGTCTTCAAGACCTGCGGGCCGGACGGGCAGTGGGTGACGGGGCCGCAGGGACAGTCCCTGCGTGATGCCACACAGTGCCAGCAGGATGATGAGGAGATAAATGCACAGGTGGGCAGAGCTGGGCAGCAGGGGTGCAGGGGTCCCTGCCTGCCCCCCTGCCTGCCCCTGCCCTTACTTGCTCCCTCCTCTTCCAGGAAAAATTTGCCAAGACCTATGGCAGCTTCAAGGTGATGTACACCGTGGGCTACTCCATGTCCCTGTGCGCGCTGCTGCTCGCCCTGGCCCTGCTGCTGGGCTTCAGGTGGGGACGTGGGCACGGCCGCCCTCAGAGTGGGCAGGTGGAGACTGAGGGTCTGTGTGCGGGCACTGACAGCAGACCCTGCATCCACAGCAAGCTGCACTGCATGAGGAACTATATCCACATGAACCTCTTCGCCTCCTTCATCCTGAAGGGTGTCTCCGTGCTGGTCATTGACGCCCTGCTCAAGACCCACTACAGCGACAAGATCGACGGTTACAGCGTGCAAGTCTGGCTGAGTGACGAGGTCAGTGCTGGTGGGGCAGGGGTGGAGGCTGGTGGGGCTGGTGGGGCTGGGGACTGGTGGCACTGGTGAGGCTGGGGGCACAGGCACACACAGAGGCAGTGCTGCAGCCCTGACCTCTGTCCACAGGCAGCCGCAGGCTGCCGGGCAGCCACAGTTTTCATGCAGTATGGCATTGTGGCCAACTACTGCTGGCTGCTGGTGGAGGGCATCTACCTGCACAATCTGCTGGTGGTGGCTGTTTTCTCCGAGAGGAGCTACTTCACCCTCTACCTGTGCATTGGCTGGGGTGAGTTTGCATGGCCTGGCCCCCCTGACCCTGTCCCCTGCCATGCCTCACCTGCCACCTGCCCACCTCCCCTCAGGGGCACCCGTGCTGTTCCTCATCCCCTGGGTCGTTGTGAAGTTCCTCTACGAAAACATCCAGTGAGTATCAGCCGCTGACAGTGGCTGAGGAAACACAGGGCACAGTGGGTGTGTGTGGGACTGTGGGGATGTTGTGATGGCCCCGGAGAGGCTCCACACCACTGCCCATGCAAAGGGCAGGGTGCCTGCCCGTGGTGCTTGCTCAGCCAGGGCTGCCAATGCCACACCAGACTCTAGCAGCCACCTGGTCAAGGGGCTTCCTGGCAGTCCCCATCCCTCCCCTCTGCAGGTGCTGGTCCACTAACAACAACATGGGCTTCTGGTGGATCCTTCGCTTCCCCGTGTTCCTGGCCATCCTGGTGAGCCCATCACAGCCCCTCACTTGGTGTCTCAGCATCTCTTTTGCAAGCCCTGAACAGCTGTGAGAGAGGCTGCCCAGGGCAGGGGGACAGAGCTGTCCTGCCTGCCCTTGCCCCTGCCCCTCATGGCCCACTCCATTCCATTGCAGATCAACTTCTTCATCTTCATCCGCATCATCCAGATCCTTGTCTCCAAGCTCCGTGCGCACCAGATGCGCTACACTGACTACAAGTTTAGGTGGGCGCTGGGCATGGCCCACCCTGTGTGCCCGCAGCACACACGCCTGTGCGTCCACCTCGTGACCCCTGTCCCCCAGGCTGGCCAAGTCCACGCTGACGCTGATCCCGCTGCTGGGCATCCACGAGGTGGTCTTCGCCTTCGTCACAGATGAGCACGCCCAGGGCACACTGCGCTATGTCAAGCTCTTCTTTGACCTCTTCCTGAGCTCCTTCCAGGTGAGCCCAGCCTGTGCAGGACCAGCCTTCTGTGGGGACTCAGTCTCGGTAGGGACCAGATTGGGGTCTGGCTGTGTGCCTCACACCTCTCCTCCCTCCACCCAGGGGATGCTGGTGGCCATTCTCTACTGCTTTGTCAATAAGGAGGTGAGTAGGACAGCAGGGGCAGGGGCAGTAGGGGTGCTGGGTTATGCTGATGGCATCTACCCACAGGTGCAGGCAGAGCTGTTGAAGCGATGGCAGCGCTGGAAGCTGGGGAGGGACCTGGCTGAGGAGTACAGGCACACCTACAGCCACGCACCCAGCGCCCGCAACGGCGCCGGCAGCGCCTGCGAGAAGCACCAGCTGGTGAGCGGCTGCACCAACGGGCTGGGGCACAGCCCGGCCCCTCACCCCGGCTCCCACCGCCCCGAGAGGAGCGGGCGCGGTACCGCTGAGCACCTCGCCCTGGGAGATCGCCACCACTGCTACGAGTTCCCTGAGACCACGGCCGAGAGCCACTTCTGAGCCCACGGCCAGACGGGAGGGCTGTGCTGAGCCAGTGGCGCCGTCGTCCCCTGCCCTGTCCTCCCCAGGTGCTGGCAGGCACCGGGACCCGCCGGCCCGGTGAGGGTGCTGCGCTGAGCGCGTGGACAATGGACACAATGGGGCAGGCGAGTGGGACCTGGACCTCGACCTCTGGGGTGGGATCTGTGGGGCTGGGGGGGCTGGGGGTGGGAGTTTGTCCTGTGGTGCTGCCCTCGTGCGCCTTTGAGTCCCTGTGCACAGTGCTGTAATTTATCTGTCCTATCTGTAAATAGGTGTGGGCCCGTGCTGGGCTGCAGGGCCAGCTCTGCGTGTGCCTCTCTGTGGGGTGTGGGGACTGGGGACTCCAGGGACATCAGACACATTGGGACTGTGCTCCCACTAGCACCCACGGGTGATGGCCGCAGCCACGGACTGGGAGCTGGGCCACTTGGCAGGGATGAGCTGCACCAGAAGACAGACCCACTGCCCGCCCTGCTGCCTCCAGCCCCACTGCCTGCCCCATGGCCCTGCACAGAGGAGAGGGGCAGACATGCAGCAGCAGCCACTGCAGTGCTGCCGGCCGAGGCTCCAGCTCCCCCAGCACGCGCTCTCCTCTGGCTGCTAATCGGCTCTGTCCTTTCGCTGCCAGGAGCCCTTAATTAAATCATTTGGCTCTGCCCACGGCACCCCCGCTCTCCCGGGAGCCGGCCCAGCCCACGGCCGGGCAGCAGCCACCGGCAGCAGCGCTGAGTGCCGTGAGCAGCAGTGGAGTGTGGGGCTGAGGGACCCCTGTGCCAGTGGGCCAGGCTGGCCAGGGCAGGGAGGGGGCACAGCGGTGCCCTAAGAGGCTTGTGCCGTGCACATGAGCGCTAAGCCCGGATGCCACAGCTTTGGGCACCACAATCGCCTGGTGTGTGGGGATTAGGCAGGTGCTGCTCCCTTGCTGGGGTCACTGTGCCTGAGGGTGACAACTGCCCTGCTGTGACCCCTGCTGCCCATGGCCCTGGGCATGGGCACTGCCCATTACCCATGACACTGCTACACCTGGCCCCAAGCGCTCCATGGTTCCAGGCCCCACACGCAGCCCGGTGCAGGGGATGTGCTGAGTGGCGGGTGAGAGTTGGATCTGCGCCCCGGCAGCCCCAGCAGCACCACACAGTAAACAGCAGCTCTGGGTGGGCAGCCACCCTCTCGCTAAGTCCCACCCTGCCCCAGCATCACCCGCACCCCATGGCCACAGCAGCGCCGCCCAGGCCAGCCAGCACAAGGAACAGCAGGAGCCACGCTGTCTGCGGGGGGTGGTGGGGGTCCCAGACCACGGTAAGGCATCAGCGGGGGTGGTGGGGCACGAGGAGGGCAGCTGTGGCCCCGGCCATGAAGCACTTGGCTCCGGCAGCAGCACCCGGCCCAGCACGCAGTAATTTTCCTCTGTTTACTCGACAACTCACTGTCTGTCCCAGCTGAATGGGACCCAGTGCCCAGGGGCCATTGCAGCACTGGCAGTGGGAATGTGCACAGCAGGGATGGGGGCAGAGGGGCTGGGCTGTGGGGCTGGAGCGCTGTGGCAGCAGCACTGAGTGGGCAAGGTGAGTGGAACATAGGGGCTGGGGTCTGCCCAGGCCCCCAGGTGCAGGAATGGGGACAGGGATAGAGAGGGGGACAGGGACCACCCTGCTCAGAGCCACAGTACCAGAGTGGCCAGAGCAGCCGCGTGGAGCCACTGGCCCCAATGGCCACTGCCGTCACTGCGGCCTCCTGACGTGGTAACGAGCCTAATTGAGGCAAATTGCTGGAGCACGAACAGTTTCTGGGAAGGTAAATATGGTCATGGCGCGGTGCCGGGCCCTGCGCCTGTTGCTCCAGTGTTGCTGTGGCAACACCCTGCTGTCGACCCCCAATGCCCCGCTGGGACCAGGCTTGTCCCACAGCACTGGGGACAGGGGGATCTCCAGATCCTGCCCAGGAAGGGTGGTTCCATGTGTGCTACACAATGACAAGACCCCCCAGTGACTCCAAGCCAGCCCCAGCCTATGGGGTGTCCTGTGGCAACATCCTGCATCCCCTGGTGCTGAGGGACAGCCCCATGTCCCACGGTGCCTGGTGCCCATCAGCCCCGAGCAGGGACAGTGTCTGCTGATGGCTGGGAGCCCCGTGCAAGCACCCAATGTCTGCCTGTGCCAGGGCACATCCAACAGCACCTGCACCAGCCAGGTGTGCCCCACAGCCGGGCACTGCCTGTGCCACAGGGCTGAGCCTGCAACCCCATGCCCTGGTCACCTCCCACAGAGCCATATGAGCTGGCCAGCAGCTTCCCAGTATCCACAGACCCCTCGTGACAGCTGGGCTGGGAGGCATCTGGGATTGCCCTGGGATCCCCCTGGGAGTGGGGCCAGCCCCAGCCCGAGGACCCAGCTCCCACAGGACTGTGGCAATGTCCTCTCTCATCACTGCTGGAACAGAACCCCTCCCTGCCATGGCCTGGCAGTGCCAACAGTGGTGTCACCCATGTCCACCCTGACTGCTAGCACCCAAGGGCATCCCCACCCCAGGGTACAGCCTGGGCATGCTCACACATGCTCACACATGCACACACACGCACACACACGCACACATGCATGCGCACACATGCATAGATGTACACACACACAAAACACGTACACACATAGCAGTCACACACACACACACACAAAACATGTACACACACAGCATTCACATTCACACACACACACACACAAAACATGTACACACACAGCATTCACACATGCACACACACGCACACGTGTGGGCACAGCCCTCAGCTGCCCAGCAGGAGCTGCCCGTTCCCGGTGCCCAGTGGGACAAAGGCACTGCCACCAGCCTGGCCAGACTCACAGGATGGTCTGGGTGCAAAGGGACCTTTAAAGGTCCTTGGGTCCAGCACCCACAGTGAGCACAAACACCTGCCCCAGACCAGGTTGCTCAGAGCCCTGTCCAGCCCGATGCTGTTCCCAGGGATGGGCCATGCACCATCTCTCCAGGCAGCCCACGCCACTGTCTCACCACCCTCAGTGCAGAGACTCCACAGAGACCACACGGCCACGGTGCCAGTCCCTGCCTGTGGGGCTCAGCCCAGGGCAACGAACAGGGCCAGGGGAGTTCCTCGCCTCTGAGCCAGTGGCCCAAACACTGCCACCCCAGCCATTGCCCCCCTGGCACAGCCGGGCACCCCAGGCAGTGCCCCCTGCCCCAGCACAGCCAGGCACCCCAGGGCACGGTGCCTTACAGGAGAACTCCCACTTTATGAAGGGAATTGAGCACCACAAATTGGTCTGCAAAGTCGATTCTGCCTGCTGCCGGGCCTCTTCCCACTGCCTAATTCAATGACAAACACGTTCCTCTCCTCCTCCCACCCTTTAATCTAATGAAGAGCACCGTGTCCAAGGCACAGGGAAATAAACCCTGCCGAGGCCGATTTTTATAAGTAAACAGCTTGATTTCTCTGGCCTGCGGCCTCACCCCTTGCAGGGGCACCCCCCGCACCTCCCCCAACTGTGTCACTGCCCTCACCCTGTGTTTTGGTATCAGTCTTTATAAAAATCTCCTGTTTATAGAATGAGTTTTGTACATTTCATTAGAGCTCAAGTGGCTGTTTTGCCTCTGGCTTTACTGTGCCCAAGCTGAGAGGAAAACAAGGCAGAGGCTGGTGAGGCTGCAGGACCCACGTGTGCCCCTGGGGGCCCCACTGCAGCCCCCGGGACAGCCTCAGGTCTGAGTGCCCAGACACGGGGGTGGTGCTGGGCTTTGTGGCAGATGGACAGTAGCCTGCCTGGCCCAGGGGTGGGCACCACACTCAGCTGGGATGGGTCCCCCTTCCCATCCCCTTGGGACACATGGACACAGCTCTGGACATACACAGGGCTTCAAGCCAGTTCTGCTGGCCTGTCAGGCTCCCCAAACATGGGGAACATCACCAGAACAGGTGGAGAGGGGCTGTGACAGTGACAACTGTCACCTCCCGACCCCACTGTCTGTGGCTGCAGGTACACAGTGCCTGGGGTAGCTCCGGTGACAACAGGGGCTGAGTTCTCATCCCACCGTGCTGGAATCAGGCAGCAGCCCCAGGAATGTTTTGGTGATGGGAGGTAAACAGGGTCATGGCAAGCGTCGAGATGCACGCGAGCAGAAATTCTAGCAATGCTAAGTATAGCTTAAATGCCATTAAAGCAGGAGAGGGAAGAGGATACAAGGGTATTAATAGTCTCAACATTTAAATCCTGGGTGCAGCAACAGCTCCTGGGATGCTGGGTGCCTGGAGCGCTGCCCGAGCCCAAGGGCATTGTGCTGCCAGCACGCAGTGCCCGCTGCACCTGCCCATGGGGAAATCAACAGCCCCAGCAAGTGCGAGGCCAGGGCCCCTCTGCGGAAAATAAACACAGATCAGAGGCAGCTCCTGCTCTCTGCCCCCCATCCCCAGCACAAGGAGCAGGGCCAGGCCGCAGCACCACATCGACGCAGCCCCAAAAGGACACCAGCGTTTATTTACAACACTCCTCAAGTGACAGACCACGGAGAGAAAGGAAAGGGAACAGCACAGCTTAAAGACTCAACAAAGGAAAGGTACTGGCAGCCCCCACTGGCAGCCCCCAGTCCCCGCAGCCCTCCCGCAGCCGCTGGCACTGGGCAGGCCCGGCGGCCCCATCCCTGCTGGCCTGGAGCACGGACAGGCAGGGGGCCGCCGCCTCCCCAGGGAGTGGCCCTGTGGCTCAGGTGGGCAAGGGTGGCACAGTTGCTCTCCCCAGCTCAGGCAATGATGCAGGAACCACCTGAGCCCTGCCAGGAGCGAGGGGCCCAAGGAAGGCCCCTCAGCACGGTTCCACCGCCTACGGCCCCCAGGGCGAGCTATGGGGCCAGGTCTCTTCCAAGGGTGTGTATCTGGAAAATGGTGTTGGTACAAAACTGCAGCGCTGCTGGGGCGAGGAGCCCCCGAGCCTCACTCCGTGCAGCCCCACAGCTGCTGCCTCCCGTGGGGCTGCTGAGGCACCGAGGCCAGGGGGCTGCAGGTGCCTCGGGTCCCTCTGAGCACCTCTCAGGCACCTGAGGCGGGACACCACATCTCTTTCCACCTGCAGGGAGGGGAACAACCCCCCCTCAAGCACCACAGGGATCTTGGCCTGCTCTAAGCACACGGAAAATCCAGCCTCGGATGTGGCCCATGTGCTCCGGCAGCCCAGGTAGCAACTTGCTGCCACAGTGGAGCTAGGAGCAGCCTGGCTGCAGCCTGCCCAGCCCTGAACTGCACAGGCAGGCTGGATGAGGCACAGGGAAAGACCCGACTGTCCTTTTTGCCCACATCCCACCCCAGCAGCTGCGGGGCCTTGGTGCACAGACCTGGTGCTGCCCATCCGCTCAGCCCAGCCCTGCCCGGCGCCCGGGGCAGCGGCGGAAGGGGAACGGGAGATCGGGGAGCTCAGTGTGAAGGGAGGAAGGACAGTTTGAGGCCAAAGAAAGCTATGAGTGGGGGACTGGAATCCTTTGCAACAGGCTCTGGGCAGCCTTGGTAAGCCGCTGAGCATCCTCGACCTCAGGCAGCTTCAGAGCCAGCCCCAAAGCTGACTGGCTCTCCCGTGAGCTTTTGGGAGCACAGACCAGAGGAGGAAATCAACACAAAATTTCAACTTAAATCTGCTTGAGGACCTTAGGAGAGCAGCCGATCCACAGGGAGGATCCGCCTTAGGACTTCTTTGCATCCTGTGTGTTCCTTCTCTTCAGATCACCCAGGTCGACGGGTTTAAACGCTGCAGGGGAGACAGGAAGAGACTTTGGCGGCAGAGGCAATGTAGCCCCCGCCCAGCCCGCGCAGCCCCCGGGCCGTCACAGCCAGGGTGGTGCACGCTGCCCCCGCACCTTTCAGGCTGGGGTTCGGCATCTTCTCCACGTACTCCTCGACCAGGCCGCGCTCGGAGCCCATCTGGCTGCGCAGGTCGCGCTCCACGCACTGCCAGGCTGCGGGGATAGGGACAGGGGCCGCTCGCCTCGGCCGCGCCACGCCCCCCGCGCCCCCCTCCGCCCAGCGGCCCCCGCCCCGCTCACCCTCGTAGATGAAGCGCACGTTCTCCTCGTGGGCCGGCGTGAAGATCTCGCTGCCGGCGCCGGGGGAGCGCGGGCCGCCGCTCCGCTTCCCGTTGTACACCACTCGGGACACGGGGGAGCTGCGGGCGGAGCGCGAGGGGGCTGAGCCGGGCCCGGGGCCGCGCTGGGCCCGGGGCCGGGCGGGACTCACCTGGCCAT